GTTTTTCCCTCTTGGGTCTTCCCAGTGTAAAACCATTTATAGATTCATTAGAGCAAAAGCAATTCATTGTTGTTGTTTTTGAATCTATATACAGCCACTTAATTTTAGAGGCTGCTTTAAGTTTGCGTGTGTGCTTTTTATAAGCACTTTGTGATCCAGATCAAAACCTCAAGCATTTAAAACTTACGAACGCGACGATATAAAGCCTCAAAGTTACTGCTATCGTGATTTGGTTATTAGGCTGTTTTGACTGCCTTAAAGCACTTGATTTGCCTCTGTGAGGCTCTTTAAAAGCTTGTCTTCTTTTCAAGAAACCTAATCGGAAAGCTACATATTTGAGTTTTCTATTTTTAATTGACGGAGATTTGAATTATGGAAGCCACGCTCCATTTTAGACAGATAACGGCACACTTGCAGGGGCCCAGCCTGTGCAGATGGGCATTAAGTGTTTATGAAAGCTGTAAATATCCTGAGACAGCCCTCTCCCCTTTTCTCTCCCCCCCAACCCAAAGCCCCAAAGAAAGCAGACACCAGGATTTGTCTTTTGTCTGCAACCATCTGGTGCATAAAAATTTATTCAGGTCCACAGTAGTCAGTTGAAACTCATACGACTGAATAGAGATGTAGGCTAAGGGGAACCCCCCCGGGGGGAGAACGGGCCCATCGCTTTGTGAAGAGAGACTTCCCTGCAAAGCTCAGCTGCTGAGAATTTGCTCCGGGCAGTGGGCCCGCAAATGCGGTAGAGAAGGGAAAGATGGAAATACAAAAGTTCACCTCGAGCTCGTCTCTGGATGCAGAGGGACAGGGATTACCGAAATCTCCAGGGAATCCCAAAGGGATCGGAAAGATTCCACATGCAACGCAGCTGGGGCGTGCCACTCAGAGCAGCAATGGTGAAAGCCCGTTTCTTTTAAAATCTGCCTTATGTTGCAGTCGAGCTCACAGGGACGATGGTCGTAAAGCTGGGCCCACATGGCGCCACTTCCAAGCGCAAATGGATAAACGTTTGGCGAACCGCCCTTCTATTTTTTACAAAAATGCTCTGCAGAGGAAGCTCTAGGTCTCTCCTAATACACTTGCTTACTATCGGTGGCGATTTCCTCCCTACCAGAATTTACCACGGAGGACTATTCAACAATACGACTAAGCCACACTGCCTTCTCTCGTGGTCCCATCCAGTTCTCTTTCTGCTCGGGAGAACGAAGGATCAAGATTAGGCGTGCTTTTTACAAAGCAAGCTTCAGGGCCAGCAACCACCGAGATATGGTGCCCATGAGGGCCCCCAGTTCTGCCAGCAGGGACAGTTGTCACTACAAACCCTTTCTCCCATCCGGTGTGTTTCCCCAAATTCCTTCCCCAATTTTCCCTTTGCTCCTAAGCTACTATATCCGGGAAGGCTAAGACAGGGCCAGGAAGA